TGTTTTTTATTCACTTGCAAATAGATACATTTTACAATTTTATGCTATGGCATATGATATAAAGGTTATTATATCACAGGTTATAATATCACAGTTTTCATATCACACCCCACTTCTAGCAACGCATTTTACACGTGGACCCGTGAGCGAGTTTGATTTTACGCCGCTTTTAGCATTATTCCAGCAATATCACGGCGGGGGACACCAGAAATGGGCTTCACACATTGTACCCACGTCGGGAATCGAACCCGGGTCTTCGGCGTGACGAGCGAACGCTTTAACCACTAGGCTACCCGACCGCCCCCGTGGACCCGTGAAGATTCCGGGGTAGAATAGGTCTTCAGCAACCCATGCTAGCCGTAAAAGGCGACTATGCTTGTCGTAAAAGGCGACTATGCTTGTCGTAAAAGGCGACTAACGGGATCGGGTGGTCAGGCTCGCTGACTTGGTTGATGCATGTCATCGATCCCAATTGCGTGGATCGATGCTCATGATATTAATCATTGGATTGTCTGGTCCAGACTCGATTATTTACAGACCGCCGTCATATAGCTGGAATATTGCTGAGTGCGGCGTTAAAAAACCAACCAACCAACCAACCAACCAACCATATAACACGTGCAAAACGTCCAAGTTTACACACTTGAGTATTAAAAACAAAGTCTTCCAGGCCCTGAACGTGTCGTTGTCCAAAAATATTGATTAAGATTAACTCGACCGAACGAATTGACAGATACACCAAGAAAAGCGTTGGAATAACTATTACTTATCTCTCGGGTATCGTCTGGTGTTCGCATCCCGAATATTAATTGTTAACCGCTCGGACGTATAGTGAGTGAGTGCATATGGCTCACCAACGCCTTTAGCAATATTCCAGCAAAATCACGACGGGGAATACCAGAATGGGTTTCACACATTGTACCCATATGGGGAATCGAACCCGGGCCTTCGGCGTCACGAGCGAACTCTTTAACCACTATACTACCCCACCTCCCCGGACGCACAGTGCTTACACTAGTTCAAGGCGTCTGCCTTTCATTCGACATTCGGAAAGTTCTTTTTTCACCCTTGCGCGTGATGTATTCAAAACCAACTTTCTCCTTACTTACACTTAAGGTATAGGACATACAACAATACTACCATTGTTAAAAAATATTAAAGCAAATTGCATTGGACAGGATGTTTTAATCATGTTAAAGTTTTCTTTGGATGGGTAGATGATACCTTGCCTGGTTTGGAGTTTTATAAATAATATAGGTCTAAAATCTGACAGCGACAGTTCTTTGTCATTTTTGTTGTCAAAGCCATCTTTACCGTAGGTGGTATATGTAAAAAGATGTCATTCTGATTTTTTCTGAATATTTTTAAGGTCGGTCCAGCCTGTTTGTAACTGGCTATGAATACAAAAAAGCCGCCCCGAACAAAAAAAGGAAAATATAGATGACATTTTTTGTCGAATAGTATATTTATCGTATTGAATGACGTGGAAAAGTTAATATTTTCATGAGGGCACAGCTTCGTGTGAACATGTAACTTTTTGAGTAATGAGATAACCATGTTGTTTTAATTAACAAGGATTTGTATTTTCTTATGTGAATTAAATGATCCTAAGTGAAAACCACAGTGTCAGTGAGGCAGACAGAAAATAGGTCTCCCAGAAAGATTTTTAATAGTTTCATACATAATTATAGTAATTTGTCACTAAATACATGATTAATGAAATGTAGTATGAATAGTTTCGATTCTTGGTTTTGGTCTGCAACAGGGGTATTTTTCAATAAGTGAAAGGGTGGCCCCATCGTCTAAGGCGCCGTACTCAGAGTGGCCTCCCTAAGGCGTGCCAGAAACCTATGATCGTGCGTGAGAATCCAGATTCGCCCTGATTATACCTCGAGGTTTGTCACACCATACTCGTGCTCGTGAGTTATAACAAAGCCTAATGCCATGCTAGAGCTTAAATACAATATTACAGTTCTAACACGGTATGAGATTCGTGATTCGGTAACTGGTTGTGATGTCACACATCATCATTTTTGTAATTTCTTTGGTGTGAAGGTCGGATGAATAAAAGTACACACGATCGTGCTATCCTGCTGCTTACAGTTTCCATCATGAAATTGATTTTGCCTCTATTTTACATATATTTTTACCCAATAAATTTTATTGTGGATGTTTATCAATGTTAGATACGTAGATATAAGCCACACATTTTATGAACCTTTGGTAATCTCTTGTTTGTTTGAACATTGTCTACCGTTTATTCTATTGCTAGGGTCAGATAATATTTGGGTGGAAAGCTCGAGGTGGACACATACTTTTACTGCGTTCGTAAAACCATCAAGGCATGGCACAGGCAAACCAAGGACCATATTCGAGACGAATATGACATTCGAACCCAAAACTAGCCATATCCTGGTGCAAATTTTCACTCCGAATTGCGGCAACTAAACGAAAATAACGGCGGTATTGTTGTTAAAACGTTCGCTCGTCACGCCGAAGACCCGGGTTCGAATCACGACATGAGTAGAACGCGTGAAGTCCATTTCTTGTGACCCCCGCCGTGATATTGCTGGAATATTTCTAAAAGCAGCGTAGAACCATACTCACTTACTCACTCACTCCCATATGTGAGGATAAACGCAGCTTTTTGCAATATTCCATGGCCGTCATATCACGACAGGGCGCTCAAAGAACGGACTAAGGGATAAAGATCCATGTGGCGATTCGAACCCTGGTTTAAGAAGTGACGCGGAAACTTGAACAACAAGCCCCCCACCTAACCAGGTTCAATTACAGGTAGTGCAGAGTTGTGTCCGTTACGAAACCATGCACATTGTGTACAATGGTTGTAATTGCGTTTCATAAAAGCGGTGTCAAATCTCCCACTCCCACCTTATCTGTAAATTGGAACCTTTTGATTTAATCACAGTGAATGTTGATAATGAAATAGGAATGACCTCACACTCCATCAAAGCAGATATGGTGGTTAGAGGTGACAGTTGCCTACATTAGCTATATGTGGCTGAGTCAACATGGCAAGCTATATTTATCGTTGCTGTGAAACATGTGCTATAATGTCATACAGACACTAACTACACTCATTGTCAGGTTGTGAATGTTATCACGTCGCGGTGGGAGGAAGTTCAGCTGTGCTGATGACACAGACGGAAAACGCAATGTCATGAACGTGATATGTACACAATAAATATTGCAATTTGTATACCTTATATGTCAGACCTATGACACACATCTATGACACACTACATATGACCAGTGAAGATCGGGGTAGAGCTTGTCTTCAGCAACACAAGCTTGTCGTAAGAGGCGACTAACGGTATCTGGTGGTCAGGCTTGCTGACATGGTTGATGCATGTCATCGTATCCTCTAAACATAGATCTCATGATGTCAATCAATGGATTGTGAGGTCCAGACTCGATTATGTACAGACCGCTACCATACAACTGGAACACTGCTGAGTGCTGCGTTAAACAACAAAATAGAAGCAAACACTCTTGGCACCACGCGTTACCCACAATGTCCCCGCTACGAATCACATGATCTGACAAAAGCCTCAGTGTTACTGGCGAGGCGTCTGAGATGACAGCGATCATGACTGACAATATTAAACAGCAGTAACTAAGTTTTATGTCAGTATTTCATTATCTAAACTCACGTCTCTCTCCCCCCTCACCCCCCCCCCCCCCTCTTCTCTCTCCTCTCACTCTTCTCCCTCCCCCCCCCCCCCCCCCCCCCTCTCTCTCTCTCTCCCTGTCTCCCTCTCTCATTCATCTTAATGCGTCACAAAATTCAACCCTGCAGTTCGAGGCGGGTAAAGGTGTATGTCGACCTGCGAGAGATGAACACAGTTACATGCAGATAAGTATAAATATTCACTTCCTTGATAAGCTGTAAACAGGCCTCTGGCTTGTCGCCAAAACAGTAGTAGACACAAGACCCGGATGTAGATTTGATTGTTGACTCACTTCGATGCTCCTTGCATGCGCTCCAACACATGTGAATATCTGATAGCATTGGACGACTGCTCCTATAAACTTGAACAACAATTGTATATCTGTTACTCTAATTATACATACACATACACTCGTGACGAACATACCCATAGACATATTCTCAGGTAACTTAAAGATTCCAAACTTGGATATTATTAAACTGATAAGGTGAAATTGTTATACACTATACTAAACTGTAATATCTCGCACCATGTCTCAGGGATCACGCCTTTAACGGTAGACTATGCCGGGACCATGTATCAGGGATCACGCCTTTAACGGTAGACTATGCCCGGACCATGTATCAGGGATCGAGCCTTTAACGGTAGACTACGCCCGGACCATGTATCAGGGATCACGCCTTTAACGGTAGACTATACCCGGACCATGTATAAGGGATCACGTCTTTAACGGTAGACTACGCCCGGACCATGTATCAGGGATCACGCCTTTGACAGTAGACTATGCCCGGACCATGTATCAGGGATCACGCCTTTAACGGTAGACTATGCCCGGACCATGTATCAGGGATCACGCCTTTGACGGTAGACTATGCCCGGACAATGTATCAGGGATCACGCCTTTGACGGTGGACTTTGCCCAGACCATGTATCAGGGATCACGCCTTTGACGGTGGACTATGCCCGGGCGATGTATCAATGATCACGCCTTTGACGGTGGGCTATGCCTGGACCATGTATCAGGGATCACGCCTTTAACGGTAGACATGTTGGCATGTTGGTTTCAGGAGTTGCACATGTGTAGTTTCAGTCCACTCCAATCTTATTACGTACATAAACCAAACAGTTAATCGTTACTTTAATTACACAAAGGCTTCTTGAAATGGCCTGCATAACCGTAGCGTTATTTGAAATTTTATTATTTTGATCAATCTAGCAATAAAATTATTTCTTTATTACACAAAGAACACGACGGACACTAATTACAAAGTCTATACATAGACTAAAAATAAACATCATAACCGCAGAGTTATCAGAAATTTTATGATGTGCACAAAAAATTGCACCGTGGTAGAAGGACACGTATACATGATGCGTTACAGTATGACTGTACACTGATAATATATACTAACAACAAGGACAATATCCAGACTTGACATGGGCACCAGGGCGTGAAACATATCAGTGAAGGATCCCGAACAACGATTGCAGGATATTTCACCAGATGGACAATTCCTCACACGGACATTCCCCACACAGACATTACCCGATATGGATATTTTCCCACGCAGATATTACCCGCTTTGGACAATTTCAAACACGGACGTTTCACCACATGGACACTTTCCGACGCAGACATTATCCGATTTGGACAATTTCAAACACGGACGTTTCACCACATGGACACTTTCCCACGCAGACATTACCCGATTTGGACAATTTCAAACACGGACGTTTCACCACATGGACACTTTCCCACGCAGACATTACCCGATTTGGACAATTTCCCCACGGACATTTCACCACATGGACACTTTCCTACGCAGACATTACCCGATTTGGACAATTTCCCACACGGACATTTCACCACATGGACACTTTCCCACGCAGACATTACCCGATTTGGACAATTTCCCACACGGACATTTCACCACATGGACACTTTCCCACGCAGACATTACCCGATTTGGACAATTTCCCACACGGACATTTCACCACATGGACACTTTCCCACGCAGACATTACCCGATTTGGACAATTTCCCACACGGACATTTCACCACATGGACACTTCCCACGCAGACATTACCCGATTTGGACAATTTCCCACACGGACATTTCACCACATGGACACTTTACCACACGGACAGATCACCACAGGACAATTTACCACGCGGACGTCTATCCACAGGTCCACAAGTTCCCACGCGGATAATAGTTCACACTGCCACTTCCCCGTGGACTTTTTTCACAGGATAATTTCCCATACGGACATTTATCCACAGGGCAGTTTCCCCCTCTGACATTTATCCACAGGACAATGTCCCACACGGACATTTATCCACAGAAACATTTCCCACTCGGACATTTATCCACAGGACAATGTCCCACTCGGACATTTATCCACAGGACAATTTCCTACGCGGACAATACCCCAAATAGCAAGTTCCCCATATGAAATTTTTCCCACATTGAATATATTATCAAAATTATATAAAACAGACAACATAGCATTTATATCACAGTTTTATTTACAACTGACAAAATATAATAATATGAATATTAAAATTCGTCAGCATTTGTGAAGTTCACTAAAATGTCACCAGCTAGAATCTGTCACAGATAAAGACTAATTTTAACCAAGTCTGATCACCTATGACATAGACTGTGTGAACTGCTTGACTGACTTTCTTCCATCAGCGTGAAAGGATTACCCACAGAGAATAAAAGGATATAAAAAGACGATATCCTAATATCTACATGATATTAAGCATTCACTACCAATTTCCTCTAACAATAAAATGTTACCTTTGGTATCCGCAAGAACCAATACATCTTGCAACAATGTATATATTTTTTTGTAAAAGACTATTTCTTTTAAACAACAATCTGAAGCATAATTATTTTTTTCAATCATATTCTTGGACAATTATTTTTTTTCGATAAAATTCCAGGCCCCTATGGATATCTAAAGGTCGGTTCCTAAAAAGATCCTGTCAACACGGTCACATCCGATGATTAACAAATACCTCCATGATCCCATCTACAGTCTACAGGCTGGCAATATTCGCTTCCAATGTCCTCTTATGATTAGTGGTTAATGTAAGAAAAACACCGTCTCAAAATAGGCCTTGCATCCTCCACCAAACTTCCTCTTTTCAGTTCCTTACAAGAGTTTGCCACTAACGTGTCTATATCCCCCGCCCCTGTTGCAAGATTTATGACATAATTAAATCTTAACAAACCCTATCCTTATTTAACCGAGCTGGAACTTGTCATGGAAATTGTAAAAAAATGAAGAGTTTGGAACCTAAGACCATCTTGTTGCCATGGAAACGTAAAGAATAAACATTTCTAAAATTTCTAAATAGCAAAAGGCACCAGTTCAGCATGTACTTGACAGACCTGCAAAGTTTCATGAAAAAATATTGAACGGTTTCTGAGTTATGCTCCGGAAACGAAACGTGACGGACGCACGTACGGAGCCCGTTTCTATATCCCTCGCCAACTTTGTTCGGCGGGGGATAAAAAAAAGTGGGTGGGTGGGGAAACACTTTCAGTTGGAAACCGTCCTGTGAGGAAATGTCCCTGCGGGGACCCCTAGAATGACGGGGTGGTAGTGGTGTGGTTGGAACACCAGCTGGCTTTTGACTGTAATCAGGGTATTAGAAACATATTAAATATTTAATTTGATAAATCTTTCGTCTTACCCTACCAACTGTAATGAACCACAAAACCTGACGTTGTGAACATTTTATCACCCTCCGCCCCTCCCCCTTTAAACATCCTGGACCCGCTCTGCACTTATTGTCCAACCACGATTTATTGCCAGCATTAATTGTTGACTGCAGACACCACAGATCAGTGTTGTATATAAAAAAGTCTCAAACACATATCTATACAATGTAACAAGGAAGTATAACATCACAAATCAGATCACTATCTATAAAACCATTGTTGGCATAGAAACAGCACGTTTATCACTGGAGAGGGCGTGGGTGCAGGGGGTTCATGCACGTGCGTGTCCCCACCCATCTACCCTGCATTGTGTACCTCAAACTCTTCAAACTTCCTGATTCGTATCTGATCACACGATTCGTGGCCTTTTAAAATGGGTGCTATTTTCAAACCTCGAAATAGGGTCCGGGTAAATTCAATGCGTCACTTCCTCTTGTGCTTTTCCGGAAATGACGTCGGTATAATACAAATCGTCATCATCATCCTGTACGGGTGTTTTTTCAGCAGCAGGGTCCTTCAAAGTACTTTCAACATCGTCATAGTTTTCCTCATCGTCGAAATCTTCATCAGATTCTTTGCCGTACTCCATCGGGTCGGCGTAGTTCTCGTCGTCATCCGACTTAGTATCACAGTCTTCGTACAAGCCGTTATCAGCTGTAGGTTTAGTTTTGGCATTTTGTTTAGGTAACGGCGGAGGTCGCATGGGGGCACGATTTGTTATAGATGTCTTTGCCGTTTTCTTCGGTGCCTTTTTCTTTGGTGCCGTTTTCTTTGGCACAGGGGGAGGCTTTGGACTCTCTGGTTTAGTTCCATTTCTATCAACATCTTTATCTGGTAAAACGACCTCATAATTTTGTCCATCATCGCTGTCGTCTTCACTGTCATTATCATGTTGTTTATTGTTGTTCTCCTCTCTGTCGGCGGGCACAGCGACGTAATACTCGTCATCGTCGCTGTCGTCTTTCACAAACTCAGACTCTCCTTTAGGAGTGGACATTGCTGTAAACGTTGAAACGATTCATTGTATTATTTAACGATTCTTTTTGTAATCGTACACTCGTTGGTCGAAATACTGATTTGTTAATGATTTGTTATATAATTTCTGAAAAGACTGAAAGGGGTTGTTTTCGAATGACATTTCAAGGGTCACTTTGCTTCCAAAATTGACTCTCTATAAAGTATTGGCATGAAGTAACCAGTAAACAAGCGTGTTAGTAGGAAGATCAAACTTTTCAAACTTAAATTTTGAAACATTTGGTTGGCGGAACGGTATACGAAGTTATTGAAACGAATCTAGTCTGACATGTGACTTCATAGATACTGTACAATATGTGTATCCCATCCCTTACAGTTCTCAATCATTTACGATATACCAAGCGAAGGTGAGGTGAGGTGAAATGGGGTTTAACTTCGCGTTCAGGATTATTGCACTTACACAGCGACGTTCTTTTATAGTGCTAGCCCACTGAGATACCACACTATAGTTTAACATGAACACCCCACTCAGACACAGTATACATACTCCGAGCCGACAGGTCCTTGTTATAGCCCCTGAATGCCGAGCGCCATTCAGGGAAACAAGTACAATCTTTTAACGTCTTTTGGTATGACGCGGCCGGGGATCGAATCGGGGATCGGGGATCCGCTCTCCGGGCAGACACTGTACCACGAGACCACTAAGGCGGTACCAGGCAAAGTGTAACAATTACAAAACATAAGGCATTGTCCTATTCGCACCCTTCGGATCGAAATTTCAAAACAGAGCGTTGATTCTATTTTGACATATAAGATTTTCAAATGTTTGTTTCAGAGTAAGTAACCTTATTGTAAAAATAGGCAATTGTATTTGCATTAAAGTATTCAAACCCATTTCTTTAAAGTAGTAGTCTCGGAAATTTATCATTTAGATTTTTACAAAATATTCATATAAAGCTAGACGATTGCTTAACAAAAACACCGTACCTTCCGACTTATTATTATTTTTTTTATTATTCTTTTCAGAGTCTGAGTTGTTTTTCTCCACGGCCTCTTTCCATTCTTTGAAATCCTGCGTATTTTCTGCCAAAAACTAGAACAAAATGTATAAACGTGTACAACGTTAGTATTCATCCTTTGATAAATAATAAAATTACGAAAAAGAGTGAATAGCAATTAAGACATAGCATCGATTCATGTTTACAACACGAACATCGTTCAACAAACACACCATCACATTTCCCCGGAGATTTTTGTTACTTTGCTAAACCCTCGCCCGGACGTGATCACGGCAAGACTTTTAGAGATTTCTTGTTGACCAGTAATCCAAGGAAGCTAGGTAGATAGTGTATGTATTTACCTGGTAAGAACGTTTTCCTGGCGATGACAGCTCGAAACTCAGATCTTTCTTGTGGCTTTCCTCGGGGAGGTAAGCAGCCTTTCTGAACTTGTAGCCTGTGTTAAAGCATGATATACAAGTAAACAAAGTCATTATAGGTGGTATGTATTAACTGTAAAACTGAACAATACGTAGGAGAATTTTCAACAGGACAATAGTTTTTTTAAACTTCACAAACGTATTTTAGTATTATGTATTAAGTATTTCGAGGAAGTGATTGTGTATGAAAATGTACTACTCAAAGAAGTTAAAGAGCACCCGATTCTTTCATATTACTATAGTAACAGACAGACTACGCTAGAAATATGTAAGAATTGGGTAGTCCTTAAACTTTGTGAGTAGTATATATGGTGACATAACATGCGTATGAACGTGCCACAGGATTTTTGGTCTGCTCATGTACAAATTATTAGGAAATAAATCAGAATATTTTACTTATTTTCAAACATTTCGCCCGCCACCGTGCCTCACCTAATATACCTCTCTTTGTCAAGTGTTTGTTATTGCTTGGTTGTTTGACGCCGCACTCAGCAATATTCCAGCTATATGACGGCGTTCTGTAAATAATCGCGTCTGGACAAGACAATCCACTTATTGATGTCATCAGCACAGATCCACGCATTTGAGATACAATGACATGCTTCAACCACGTCAGCGAGCGTGACCACCCACTCCCGTTAGTCGCCTCTTAACTACAAGCATGTGTTGCTAATACTCAATTCCAACCCTGATCGTAACAACCTGTTTGCAACTTCCCTAGGCAAGGGAGTTAACCGACTTTAAAAGTCCAGTTTCCACCCTTGCCGAACTAGGCTGGAAAATCTGCATAATTTTTATGCATAGTCCATAGTCCATTGTGTAATGTGAGATCGACATCCTGTTCGTGGCCACTATTGTGCAGATTTCGGTCTATTGCAGGATTTGAAAAGAATGTGTACCGTCAACTGGGCGTCGCCAGATATTTTCAAGTATATTTATCCCTTTAATCATCTTGCTCAATTATTGTGTTACAATCCACATGCACTGAGTGTCTGTGAGGCAGGGAAAAGGAAACTTTCCTTCCATTAACTTGATCTTAATGACATAATGAATTTCTTGTTCGAAGCGTGAGTGAGTGAGCATGGTTTTACGCCGCTTTTAGCAATATTCCAGCAATATCACGGCGGGGGACACCAGACATGGGCTTCACAAATTGTGCCCGGGTCTTCGGCGTGACGAGCAAACGCTTTAACCACTAGGCTATTGTTCGAAGAAAATGGATGCGTGATACGAGGGGTGGAATCTGATTAGTTAATAGGAGGGAAATGGTAGGTAAATAAATCGTCATAGCCACTGGTGGCGCTACGAGCGAGGCATGAAATTCCAGCCAAGTTCTCAGATTCTCAGATTCTCTAATTCTTTTTCAACCACCATCGTTGGAACATGAGCCGTAATATAATACATTAATACATGATATATATCTTGTGGACAGTGAATCAATGAATGAAGACCACAGGGAGTATACATTTATATATAACTAGGGGTATACACAAATAGCTAAACGACTTCAGATTGTTCACTTGTATAATGACTTCTTACTTATGTCTGTATTAAGAGATGTTAGGAACCTACCAAGTTGATTTAAATCTTTACACTGAGGAGAACATAAAAAGCGTTTTAGATTCAAGATGTTTTGGCAGTTTAGGTATTTACTTTCGATGTATGTTATTCTTTGTTTTCTGATAGTCTCACAACGAAATACACAGTGAGATGCATCTTTAATGCCTGGCGAGTTACATGATTTACATAAGCGACTTGCAACTGGACTTTTGTAGTCAGTTAACTCCCTTGCGGCGGAAAGATGGCTGTATGTGGATAATCGCGTGTGTTGTGTATCACCATTATCTACATAAGTGTCTTGTATGATAACACAATCAGTAAGGTGGCAGCTGAGAGAAGGTTACCCGGGTGGTCTCAGCTGTATTTTAGGTATAGGTTTCGGCGGATAACAGAGACAAATTATTATCTGGTGTTGACGTTTAGCATAAACAGTCTCCACCTGACAGGGGTAGTATCTGCCTTATACTGTACCTGCGAGGCTGAAGGCTCCTGCCTGTTTCTTATCTGTGAAGTTGCCGAAGTAATAGAAGATGCTGTTTTGGATGACACAGTACCGCCTTTGGTAACTACCTCGGTGGAAGAGCGTCTCTGAAATAGAGCAGTGTATATTGTCAGCTTGTTCACGGGGAAAGAGGAATGATCTTTTTTTCAGATATCCTCTCACTGCCCCCCCCCCCCCCCCCCCCCCCCCCTCTCTCTCTCTCTCTCTCTCTCGATCACGTGCACGCACGCAAAGACAGACAGACACGCACAGACAGACAGACACGCACGCAATACACACACATACACATACACATACACATACACACAGAATTATATGATCGGCCTGGCAATGGATACATGTAATGTAATGCAATGTACTACTCAACCGATCTTCCTCAAGTAGGACACAAACCTTTCTTTCTTCTTTTCTCCAGGAAGCCCGCCTTGGTGATGTCTTTGAGAGTTCTGGCTGGAACTTCCGGAATTAAGTCATCAGCTGGATAGTGAACACACAGTTACTCACACACGTTCTCGGGGCAGTCATATCAAAAAATCACACATTAATCTTTTGAACACAGGTCTATGCTGAATTGTTTGATATGCACTACTTAGAGAAGTTGACGGATAACAAAATAGGCACAATTTATGGATAACAACTTCTTTATTTACTGTCAAGGCGACATTTCGGTATAGATCCTTACACCGTTGTCAAGCAACAGGGCTATGCTGTCTACACAAATGTTGATATTAGTCGTATCTGACACAGGATGTCCTGTACCAAAGTATTGTGTCAAATGTGCAGCAACGGAATTGAAATATAAAATCATTTACTACTTGCATGTTGAATTCTGATCTTAGGTTTACCTGCCAAATATTTCACAAATGTAAGATGAGTATTCTTTAAACTTACTTTTGGCATCGTGAAATGAAATGTGAGGTGGTGGGGTGAAATTAAGCTGAACGTGTGTGTGTGTGTGTGTGTGTGTGTGTGTGTGTGTGTGTGTGTGTGTGCGCGCGCGCGCTTCCTTGTCCTGACTCCGAGCCGACCAGTCCTTGTTTTAGCCCCTTAATGTCGAGCACCAGGTAGGGTTTAACCAAGTAACATCTTTTTACATGTTTTGCTATGACGCGGTAAGGAAAGTTATTATCTTATATAAATAAATTGCAAGTGATTCCATGGCATATCATGGGCTAACCAAGCAATATGTTTTGCGTTCATGGTCCCGTAAACAAAGAAATGAGTAGGCCACACCCACTACCGTTTTCTGATTGGCTGCAGGTGTCTCTTATATACGTATAGAGTAGCACTGGAATTGTTAGGTGCCTGGAATATTTGTTTCCATTTAGAGTTACTCACCGTCAATTCGGATAGGACCGACAGATGTCGAAAGTAGTTCTGGGTAGGCTTGTCGGAGCTTGTGGACTTCGTCCAGTAGTTTCTCCTTATGAAGTAGGGCCTTACGTGACACCTTTTCATTACGCAGCGTCTCGTTGAAAAACGCATCGACCTCTGTGAACAAAATGTGTGTTTCAGTTCAAATACCTGTCAAGCAAGGTAGCCATGTTCCCGAAGCGAACGTATGATAGGGGGTTATACGCCATTAGCAATATTCCTGTCCATAAGGAGATTCGAACCTGCACCATCGGCGTGTCGAGCGAACGCTTTAATCACTTGGCTACCTCCCCAGCGATCTATGAGATGGGCTACTAGTATTGTATGTTCAAAAACGTTTAAGTAATAGCGCTGTGTCGATATAGTGTGCTGTATGGATAATTAATGTAACAAGTAAATTGTTTAATATGCTGTTTGTATACAACTAATTCCAAAACGCAGTAATGGTTAAAAGAAACAACTGAATTCGGACTCAAGTCTTTGAAAGGCATTTAGAAGTGATACACATGAGGAAGAGAATTTATGGATATCAACTTCTTTAGTATGATGAACACAATGTTTCGGAGTATATGCTTACTCCTTCATCAGGTGAATAAATGCGGTGAGACAGAGAACATATATGTAATTTGGACTGTTGGCAAGTATATCTCCATAATGACCGCATGTTTACTTCCGTTAATATCGTTTTGAAAACAAAACAGGATATATAAATCATGCTAGAATGTTATCGGCAGTGGGTCCTAATCAATAGCGACATATATGAACAAATTGCATGCTCCGGTTAAGTACTCTTTACTAACAAGGTCTGTTCGTATCAGCTCACTCACGCACTTACCAACAGATATACAACTCCTCTTTTGATCGGGATAAAATATCCTTGTTGATACGCAAACATGATTTCAGTTTCATTGTGCACGGCATACAAAAACAGTCAACTGCTCAGTCGGCTACATATTGTACACGCAAGGTATAGAATTTAGCTTTGTCGCGAGCGTTGTACTTTTTTATGCTTACACTTCAAACATGTGCCACTTGGTCGCGACAGCTAAACTGGTAAACTGGTAAACATCAGGCCCGTAGAGAGAGAGAGAGAGAGAGACGCTCATCCCCTCCCACCCCTGCTCCTTCGGGCCTGTAAATGAAGTACACAACGTACAATCTACATTAAAAACCAAAAACATTAATCATTTCTAAAAAAGTATGTTGTAGTCAAAACAATAGTTAACCAGCGTCAGCAATACACCCAACCATGTGCAGAGTAAGTACAAGTGTGCATCTGTGGTAAATAAACACAATGACCAAATAAACATCAATGAGAGGGAACTCAAATATTTGGTAGTTAGTTTAATAAAATGTGTATATTGTGACCCCGTAACATACAAACCCACAGCCCCCAAACCCAAGACCCCACCAACCGTCCCCACACAGGCTTCAAGCCGTGTATGGTCAGTGTACCAGCCACATGCTCAGTCTCGCTGTATAAGTATTTTCGCGTTAATCTGTAATCGCATATCGTGTGTATTTCCTTCTCTATATATTACACATTGCGTTCCCAGCACGAACCATGACAGTGAAAGGTAGACGACACTCCTACCATAGTGAGTGAGTGAGTGAGTATGGTTTTACGCCGCTTTTAGCAACATTCCAGCAATATCACGGCGGGGGACACCAGAAATGGGCTTCACACATTGTACCCATGTCGGGAATCGAACCCAGGTCTTCGGCGTGACGAGCGAACGCTTTAACCACTAGGCTACCCGACCGCCCCACTCCTACCATAGATTACTTGTAAACAAAACCGATCTGGAACCGACGGGAAGTAGACAAGACTTACTGACGCACACCCAATATTATCTATGCATTCAATTTGTAAAAAAATAATTAATTCCATAGATAGCTGATATGTATGAGTTGTATCAAATGAATATTTATAGTGGGTCAGCGACCTCATTACCGAATAAGGGTTATCAGTGGACTAATAGAAAACGTCGTCACGCAAAATGTACATAAGTGGTAGTACATAAGATGTAATACTGAACAATAATGGCAATATGGTTATTGAAATAAAATGATTGTAGATAACCATAACTGTTATTTGGAATGTTATTATCAAATACCCAAATCCTCGAGAACAACAGGAAATTTAAACAGATATGAGGAATAACGAATCACGACTTCGTGTTAATGGCGCTTTAATAATATATTGACATTCTGAACAGTTTGTTTGTTTGTTTTGCTACCGATAAACATCATTGGGTTTTGATCACGTTGTCATAATCCGAATGAGGGTCGGCAGTCAGGTGACTGTAAGTGTTTTGTAAGCATAAGCACACATTAGCGTATTATCTTCGTGAATAATCATCGGGATATTTCGTGATTGTGTTTTAAGTGGCGACGACAGTATCTGTGGCTCGCGAGATAATGAGCTCATTTTCAAGTCAATGTATGTCTCCTTGTCGGGAACTACAAGCTGTACATCCGACACGGAGACGCTCTTCCGGGTCATGACGGTTGTGTCGGAATTGTGTAACGACTCCAAACGCAGCCATGTGACAACGACCACATGCAAATAAACATCAGGACGAATATATAATTATATATTTATGTCATCTGATTTAAACATTCATTTATTGGAGCGTTGTACGTGTTACGAGGCACATTAATAGTAAACATTACAAGGCAAATTGATAGGAAACATTACACATCAATCACTAATGAAGTCACAAGGCCATGTGTCATATACCCTACACATTACACATCAACTTCTGGGGGCCGCCTCCGTGGCCTAGTGGTAGAGCGTCTGCCCGCGAAGAGCGGAAGGTGGTTCGGTCCCCGGCTGCGTCATACCAAAAGACGTAACGACAAAGGATAGTACTTGATGTTACCCTGTCTGGCACTCGGCATTCAGGGGCTAAACCAAGGACTGGTCGGCTCAGAGTCCATATACTGGGTCTGAGTGGGGTATTCATGTTAAACTGCGGCGTGGTATCTCAGTTGGTGAACACTATAAAATCGGCATTAGTCCGGACTTGTTTCAAGCAGCCGCACACACACACACACACACACACACACACACACACATGCACGTCGCTACATAAGTGCAATAATCTTGAACGCGACGTTAGACCCTATTTCACCTCACCTCGTGGGGTGCAAAAATAAACGTCCCCAACATCCCACACAGGCGTGTGACCGTATCTGAAGTACGTGGATCGATGCTTATGATGTCAATCACTAGATTTTGTAAACACCGCCGTCACATAGCTGGAATATTGCTAAACAATCATTTCACATCTGTAACTGACGTTATGAATGAAACAATATCCAATAGGGGTGACCTTAAATGTTCAGTATTAAATCAGTATATATATCAATGTCGTAAGAGGCGACTAACGGGATCGGGTGGTCAGGCTCGCTGACTTGGTTGATGCATGACATCGTATCCCATTTGCGTGGATCGATGCTTATGATGTCAATGACTGGATTGTCTGGTCCAGACTCGATTAATTACAGACCGTCGTCATGTAGCTGGAATATTGATGAGTGCGGCGTTAAACAACAAACAATCACACACACACACACACACACACACACACACACACACACACACACACACATACACACACACCATACACACACACACACATATATATATATATGTTCAGCATCATTGCGCCTACGTGATAGACGACGAAGCTGACACACATTCATTAAAAAATGAATAATATTATTGACAAAAATTTCAGTTTCTCTTCGTTCACTAGTGGACTTAAACATATATAAATTTAATCATTAAATTCAATCCTTAGTTTCGAATGACTAATATAAGATTGTCCACATATCTGTTGATATACGAGCATAACGTAAAGTAAGTCTTCATAACTTAATACCAGTGCGTACATAAACACTCGAGTTGTTAACAGTTGCAGACACGAGTCTGCGTGCTCCACACTCTATCAGGGTTAAGGTCTCACAGTAGTTAACAGAACAACATGAACAATGCTTTCATGTTGTGTCAGCAATGAAATAGGGGACATGTACAACTTTTGAAAAAGATTTACCAACCTGATAGAATACCTCGAATCGAAGCGTTAAAGTTAGCCATGATATTGACAACCTGTCAAGCCGAAAGCTGGGTCCTCGGTATGCCTCATGTATGCATAACTCGAGCTATTTACTTCCTGGTTTATTCAAGGCAAGTTTCGTTACGTTTCGTGACAATCCGTAAAAGCCCGACAGAGGCGAATTCCAAAGGGATTTGTGTGGTTTGATTTCATTGGATAATGGTCATGCTATAAGCCAATGCAATCGAGCGTTAGTTTCTATTATATTTATGATGGCTAATATACCTGGCGTGAAACGATACAAAAAGCCTAGAGGAGATCATGTGCCGCCGCACGGAAACCAGTATTTTACTTTAGGAAAGTGATCTCGCACATACACGGGGAGCACTGGAGTGAATCGTTGATGTTGATAATAGAGCCATATCATCATGCGTTTTACATTACGGAAACGACAAACTCTACATGGGCTGTACGTATGTGTGGATATTAAAGACTTGCTTATCCCAAGGACGATTGCTTGATATTAACCACCACAACGTATTCATACGCACACTATGTGATATGCTAGTACTAACTACACAAACATGGTAAGGAAATATATTTAATATCTAATAATTATTCATTGTATGTGTATTTTTACTGGAGATATACACCGTACGGTAAAATTCATATCGAGGAGCCCCGTTGCACAAAGCTATTTTGGCGCTAAGGTGATCGTATACTCCCATACTTTAACATAGGCTTACGACGGTCGTAGCGCTAAGATCGCTTTGTGCAACTGGGCCCTGGGCTGGAATTAATTTTGATTGCCTGGACTCACCGTTTGTCCCATTGACATTAGGCTTTCTGTATCAGTCTAGAATCAATAGCGTTACAGAAAACAGGAAAGTGAGATTTAAATATTTCCACAATATAATATATATATATATGTCATTGTAACACTTCTTTCCTGTTATGAATTTAAGGCAATTATTCACTCAATTTGGTTCTTATCCCCGGAATATTTGGAATGTTGAAATAAGTTTTTTATGGCAAACAAGGATGATTGATATCGATCGCGTTCCAACATAAAAGCTAGGGCACCGTCACTTCACATCACACGTAGAGAGTCGGGTACCAGCCATCTTCCCGAGGCAAGGGAGTTAACTGACTATAAAAGTCCAGTTTCCACCCAAGCCGAACGAGGCTGGTATTATGGAGTAACATTTTGGTTGGACTAATGAGCCTATGTATGTCCAATCAAAATCGCGCAATGAAATCGAAATCCGGTTCGTAAACTGTCTTGCAGATTTCGGTCGATTGCAGGATTTGCAAAGCATGTGCACCGCGAACTTGCTGTCAACAGATATTTTCCTAATCTTTACATGTTTTTAAATCAAGGTGCTCACGTGATTTAATGCACTTCGCTATGTAAGACCCGTTTTATCACAATATAGATCTTGATTATCGATCAGATCGTCTTGACTGGGCGCCGCCATTTTGTTTGAAGCAAATGCAAGTGATACGAGAGGTGGAATCTTATTGGTCCATAGGAGAGGCTTAGAAGGTACATAACTCGTAATAGCCACTTGCGGCACTACGATCGAGCCTAGGATTTTCAGCCTAGGTCGGCAAGGTTGGAAACTTGACTTTTAAAGTCAGTTAACTCTCTTGCCTCGGGAAGATGGGAACAAGCCCAACTGCAGACACTGCTTAAAAAAATACACTTTTCAAAAAAAGAAACGCATAGGTGTTTTGAAAATTCCATTTTGATTTTTTCCTCAGCAATCGTCATAAAGACAATTCTTATGTTTGATTCCCGTTAATCATGTCATGTTTGTTGTGCATTGCGCGCAAACACATCTCAAAATGTTTTTTTTGTAAACGTTTATCAGCCAAAATGCAAAGGATGCACGGAAATTGCTTTCAGAAAAAGTTTTCTGCACAATGCACGTGCAAAATGTTGGAAACAAGAGTAGAGACACTGACTATAAAAGACCGTACAAAATTCATCAGTTCATTACGAATTTTCTGACGTGAACGGAGATCGAAAAATGCCAAGATTAACTGCAGCTGATCGAAATATCGCCATTAGACGTTTGGAAGCAGGGTAGTCCCAGTCTGCCGTTGCAAGACACTTCAACGTTCACCAAAGCACCATATCTCGACTATGGGATCGATATACCCGCACTAATTCGACGCAAAATCATCCCAGAAGTGGAAGACCAAGAGTGACCACCCCTGCTCAGGATCGGTACCTCCGGTTGCATCATCTTCGGAATCGATTTGCTACAGCAACGGATACTGCAGGACATGTGCCTGGTATGCGAAGAATTTCCGACCAACCCATCAGAAATTGTCTGAGGGAAGTGGGAATTCGAGCGAGACGACCAAAAGTTGGACCAGTCTTGCGACGTCTACACCCTCAACGACGTGTCCGGTGGTGCAACAGAGTACAGGCATGGGATCTCAGGAACTGGCGACGCGTTTGGTTCAACGATGAGTCACGTTTTCTTCTTCAACGACGGGATGGAAGACAACGTGTATATCGACGTCGACATGAACGTTTTGCGCCGAACTGCGTTCGACAGGTGAACCGATTTGGTGGAGGGAGTGTTAGGTATGGGGAGACATATCCTACACGGGTAGATCACAGTTAGTGGTTGTCCAGGGCAATCTTACACCAAACCGATACATAGACCAAATTTTGCGTCCTCACCTCCTTCCAACTTTGGACCGCCAGAGGGAACTGTTCTAACATGACAACGCTCGGCCCCAAACAGCACGTGCAACAATTAATTTTCTTGTTAATGAGAACATCAATGTCCTTCCATGACCGTCCAAATCGCCTGATCTCAACCCGATTGAACATTTGTGGGACGAACTTGATCGACGCGTCCGTCAACGTCACCAGCGTCCCCACACACTGGCACAACTCGCCAACGTCTTACAGGAGGAATGGCGAAGAATTCCCCACGAAAAAATCCGAAGAGAAGGAGGTGTCGAGCAGTGACGGCTGCAAGAGGTGGTGTGACCAGGTACTGACCATGACGCCCCCTTGTGGCTACACATGTGCAATGACTGAACTACATTTATGCTTACAATGACAACAATGCTTTTCTCGATCACTGTGTCTATTTTCATTTGATTGTGTTCACGCATATTCTGTGTAGATTCTTTTAAATCCGCTTAATAAATATCCTTAATTTTTAACTATGCGTTTCTTTTTTTGAAGTGTGTACATTTGCGACCATAGAGTATATAATAAATAATTAATATGATGTAAACGCACGACACTCTAATAATCTACTACTGCTACTACTGCTACTAATTCTACTTCTACTTCTACTACTACTACTACTATCGAGTAGTAGTAGTAGTAGTAGTAGGTACAATGGAATCCGCCCGCCTGGTCCCCGTTCCACAAAGTGATCGTAGTGCTAAGATGATCGTAACTCTTATTCTTTCATATTGGTCGTAGCGCAACGATCGCTTTGTAGAACGAGGCCTTGCTATATTCTTAAATTAGGAGATTATTATTTATTTTCAGGCCCTAGCAAGATGTTTCAAATGTAAATCTCAATTATTATACATGCATTTCCATATTTTGAAAGAGTCATATACTATGGGAAACATGCAAAAGTAAGAATATTTTGAATTTAGAATTGCCCGAGGTACAAATTAGTTAATGTTTCCAAAACTTCATATTCTTTGTGTTATGAGACATTGTTAATAATTTACTGGTTTGGAAACTACATGGTATGTCGAGGGAAACATGTTGGACAAAACCACTTTTACATTTAATTTGTTATAATTCACGGATATGTTGAAGTATAATAAAGATACACTTGTACACATCAACCAGCGCACGACTTTTGTTGTTCCTGCGACACAACTTGATCGAAGTTCTGATAAATATCGATCCAACTTAATATTTAATTATCGGGTATCCATTTCGCTAAGCCAAATGGGATGTTTCAGATTTAGGATTGATGAAAAAAGGTCCTGAAAAGTATTCATGCGCAGTGAAAAGTCCTGGCACTTGTCACCACTCGCCCATTTCAAGAAGACTTGATTCCTATCGATGAATGTGATATGCGAAAATACGACAAACCAATCAGAATGCCCGCATGACTTCAAGTACTTCGGTCAAAGATTCCCCCAGGAATAATGTTTGATTTTGCATGTCTTGCATCCTAAAGTATACCCAGTGAGTGTGTATGGTTTTACGCCGCTTTTAGCAATATTCCAGCAATATCACGGCGGGGGACACCAGAAATGGGCTTCATACATTGTACCCATGTCGGGAATCGAACCCGGGTCTTCAGGGTGACGAGCGAACGCTTTAACCACTAGGCTACCCGACCGCCCCTAAAATATACCCAAGTTACAGTTAAATTTGTTCAATATACTGAATAATACCGGAAGTCCCGATTTGTTTTAAATAGCATCTGGAATATATGTGGGGGAAGTATACGTAAATCATTAAGCATCGAGATTATTAGTCTTTAAGCAATGCCCGTTTGAGCTTAGACAGAACCCAGTCGCAAAAATGGCCTTGAGAGGGTCACAAGTCGCTACTCGGCTTGTCCGGAGTTGGTCACAAAATTGTGTTCAGCCTCACCTTCCTCAAAGCGATCTTAGGACCCATGTGACTTTAATTCCCATTGTTTAGCACATACCTAGGACAGAACTTTCCGGGCTTTTCCCATAAACACTCTCGTTCGTTTTACAATACAATGTACAGTGGAACATGGATATAACGAACTACAAGGGACCGGAGAAATAGTTATATACGTTTACGCTCGGAAACGTTCGCCATCTTGGCTAAAACACAATACACAAACATGTTTATACGCGTTTTCTCCCGCATCTACCGGTGATTCAGTTAAAAATTACCCAATGATACAACTTCAATTAATTTTGATGCAATAGTCGGAAGAAATTGTATCTGAAATTATTACTTTATCAGAATAATATATTCCAATATCGTGTTATTTTAATTACAGCTTTCACTGTATATATTTAAAATAATAAGATTCATAATGGAAGCGCTTTGGTACAGGTGATTGTTATTGCCGGATGTTTTTACGTATGGAACAATTTGACCAATCACTGTAGGGACTTCAGTGAGTTTAGTTCAACGCCACTTTGAATGGTGTTTCAGTTTTATAAGAGTCACTCAGCAATATTCCAACTATGTGACGACAGTCTGTAAATAATATATCCTGGACCAGACGATCCAGTGATTGACATTATGAGCATCGATCCACGCAATTGGTATACGATGACATGCATCAATCACGTCAGCGAGCCTGACCACCCGATCTCGTGAGACGCCTTTTACGACAAGCATGGGTTGCTCAAGACCAATTCAAACCTGAATCTTCACGGGGCGCAACTAGCAACTCAGATTGCAGCGCCTCAATAACTGGGCCATAAGTGATCCCTTTAAATTCAAAGACAAAAATCATGACTTTGTGTGGGATAATTAACCAAGGACAAATTCTATTTTGCTTTCACATTAATAAACTGACGGACAAAAGATGTGAACACTTGGTTTGAGCAAAACATTACAAACGTTTATAACGTTGATATTAGGATGAAAACAGTCGCCGAAACACTGTAAACTTTAGGCCAAAAACACAACGTTGATACCAGTATAAAACACATCACCATCGAAAAACCATTTCCTGTTTGTTCATGTTTAGCCACCATCAAACATGGGTGTGTACTTTCTTTTGTCCGGCAGTTTATGCTATAAAATTAATCAGGCCATTCCAACCATTTAAATTCACACACCCGCGTTTATTTTTACGTTAGAGTCTGACTCACTCTACCGAGGGAAACATCCAAAGACTTTATGGCTCATCAACACGGGTTATCATCCAGGCAGTTGTTTACGGTATGGTATGTATATATATTATGTCGAGGGTAACAATTATGATTTATTAGGGATCACCGCCCTTCTCGGGATGTGCTCACGGGGCGGTAAAGATACAGGCTCACTGATTTATTGTAAGCTCACCTGGCTATGATATAACTGATATACTATTCAAAGTGTCGTTAAACCCAACTCGCTCACACGTTTGAAAATAAAATAATTGCTGTCTCAGATGAAATGGGGTTTACGTCGCTTTCAAGATTATTGTGTGTGTGTGTGTGTGTGTGTGTGTGTGTGTGTGTGTGTGTGTGCCGCAGTCAAACATGAATACCCCATTCAGACACAGTATACTGATTCCGAGCCGACCAGCCCTTGTTTTAGCTCCTTAATGCCGAGCGCCAGACAGGGTAACAAGTGATATAACTATAATATTGCTGACTGTGTCGATTATTAACTTTTCACTCACTTATTTCTTCTGTCTTACGACGATTATCGATGATGAGTTAAAGTTTAACGGAAAGATAGTTATGATTTTACGTTCTCTTCCTGTGCAATGTGATCTGCTTATCGTCTTCACACAAAACGCAATCGCATCCAAACGAAATACCGTCGGTATGGAAAATATATCTTCAAAATATCATAACCATATAAGAAACGAATACACTCTTACTACTTCTATGGTGTTTAATGAGACAGATCCAACGAATATGAAGCATCAAGGGAAGTAACTCTTTCATCACTATTGTTGCCTTAATTACCCGACACGAACATTCTTGATCATCCGTGCTGTCTCACCGCTGAGGCGGATTTAGGAACTTGAGAAATGGGATAGGAATTGGGGGAGAGAGGGGACTTGGCCGAAGCTGCAGTTAACAGTTATGTTTGTTTGTTTAACCAGTATTTTTATCCAGTATATGACGAAACAGACACTCCAGTGATTAATATCATGAGCATTGATCTACGCAATTAGGATAAGGTGACTTGCATCAACCAAGTCTGACCACCCGATCCCGTTGGACGCCACTTACGACAAGCATGGGTTGCTGAAGATCAATTCTAACCCTATCTACAGGGTTATCTACAGTTAACAGGTAAACCAATATGCCATTTTGAAACCACTACGCACTATATGTACCACCAACCTCCAGTCTACATACAGAAAATGATAACTATTCATCTTAGTAGCAGTATATTGTAATTTGTTTTAAATCGTGCCTGTCTGTATGGGTGAGATCCATCACTATCGATTAATCATTTTAACCAATAATGTCTCAGAGATGAATACGAACAAGATGGGGGTGATGTAATTTAGCGAGATCTCAGTTGTCGTTTCCTGATCATGTTCCTATAACCTAGAGCAGAGTCTTTAGCGGCTGAATAAAGACTGTATTTTACAGAATCAATTCTGATCTCAAAGAAAACCGAAACAAATCAATACCATGGAGAATGCAGCCACAGCCATGTACGGTCCCGGCAGCATAGACTTTGGGCTGGAAGGGGACGTTTGATTGATAGGTGATACAAACACGAGGAAACTCCATTTGAACAACTTAATCGGGATTCTCTAGGGCAAAAGTCACGTATAGCACGTGTGAGGCACGAGCCTATGATCCTATTGCTGCCAGTTGCAGTCCATTGCAACGTGATCTAGCTCTGCGTGTGTTGTGGAACGAAAGCTCGCGGCGTCACCAATATCAGCAGACGATAGCCTCTCGTCTGCGCGTGGAATGCTTCTTCTTCCATTCAATATTCTGGCAAGTGGATGAGATACGCGAGACTTTGCAGGCAAGAGCTGAATGATTATACTGGAACTACTAAAATATTCACCTAGTTCCTGTCGGCTTTCATCTGGAGACGGATTTGTCAAAGCTGGCAGACGACATTTTCAGTGCGGATCTTGGGCAGTTACACTGGAGATAAGCCGTGTTTTATGTATCGAAAATATCACCCTATTAGCCAAATAATCGTTAGATCATGTCTTGTGCAATTGGACATCAATATCGGATCCAAGTGGGATTTCTGTGCTAGAAGCTCTCTGCACCGGATGTGGACCTGAACTCGGCACAGGGCAAGGAGCCGGCGACTGATACGGTTGTATGTGTACCTGACGGGAGACAGAGGGCCACGGGACACATCGTCTGGCATCGGAATTGGAGCTGACATTGTCTCTTTACCAGCTTCAAGGAGATCTCATTCACAAAGGATAACAGGATTTGAGGTAGATACTACCCATTAGGGCTTCCATCAATACTCTCACGTTGCTGTTCCCGTGGTGCTATGGGAAACTGAGATTGATTTTAGGGAAATATACTGGCAAAACAAACCTGAAACGCTTGTACAAATGTGTTTGATTGTCTTGTTCGGTAGCTGTAACTGCATTCTACTTGTAAGCCTAATGGATTTTCAAGAATGATATTATGTTGATACCGACATGATCTTTCTAGATACATAAATAATACAGATTAAGATGCATCATATATCCCAATATATTATCTTCAAACTGCATCAACAGCGCAAATATATGACGTCTTACAGTCTAGAAATTAGGATTCATTCGTTCTGTGAATATTGATAAATCCTGCATCAAGTTACTATTCTAATGGCAGCAACACTCCTTTTAAGCCAAACCCTCTTCTTTATTAGAATAAGATTAAAAACTAAGGCCGTTTGCTATTTCATTACAAACGACCTCACAAGACTCTGTCCATATCACAAAATGAAACTCTAACACCGACTGCTCTGTTGAGGTTCACGCACAACCGGCAATTCAAGATATCGATCCTATGGGAGCGTCGTCTGTCTCGTTCGGTCAGTACATACTTTAATCTGTGCATCCCATTGTTTCAAATCGACAGAACAGTAGTCGAAGGCGATCCATTGACATGTTTATTGGGATTTCCTCTCCTCAGATACCTAACAGACGAGAAGTTTACGGATTGATCGTCTGCTTGGAGTGTTGGCTGATTCAACTATCGTCTGCTACCCGTGATAGGTGAGTTATGCTTTTATAACCTTGCAAGTGCGGCGCCAGGAAACCTGGAATGCTGGGTGAATACGTCGAAAACACGTCGATAAAGTGCATTACGCTCTGTCATAATCATCTGTTGTGCCCAATGCGTCAACCGAGCATTATAGAGTGGGTCGGATGTGATTGTCTTAGTTATGGCAAAACCTTGATGTCAAGGTACATGCACGGAGTTATGCCGAATGGTTTCAGTGATGATCAGATGACTCGGGTTGTCTTCCGAACCTTGTTATTCAGTGTCACATAAATGACATAATTTAGTAACCATACACGTCTGCCTTGTCCTAAATTGTCCATGATAATGTAGCTAAAAAAGTAGCACCTTTGAATAGACTTGACACCTATGTTTCTGATTGGGGGCAGTTGATACATAATAAGACATAATTGTGTCTTTTTTATAAACATGTAAGCCAGTGCTGGTGTGATATCCAAGCTAAAATGAACCCCCAAAATGCTTCTTTATCCTCGAACCAGTTCGTACGGTGTCTCCTCCCAGTATTGCACAATTTCTTTGATATTTCACATGCATGTCTAAAGCTACGTGTTAATGTTGCGACATTCTAAGAAAATGCTGATGAGGCAATAATTACTTGGCCACAATGTAACGATACCAAAATAGGCTCAATTCGCCCATAGAAGTCAACAGCGACTCCTGCCATAGAAATGTGTGCATTTAGGTTGGCATCGATTGATAATAGATCCCTTATTCTGAAAGGACAAGGATCCAAAATGCGGAATTAGGTCACCGTGTTACGTCTACCGTGTTAATGTCTTGTAACATTTCACCCACCCCCAACTCCCACCTTGTGTGTTTAAGAGATCAATGGCCGGTGCCAATGATGACAGATAAGTAGCTTTGTGCCACAGCCAGTGTCACGACGGTTCCATTAACCCGATGGCTATGTACATTGGTGTTGTATTTCATTAACACCATCCGGATGTTTTGCAAAGAAGCATTATTCTCAGCAAAGTTTGCTGACTCCTTCAAATTGCCGGAATAGCGTTTGGATGACAACCGTCTCTTCATTAAGACGGACATACAATTGTGTCGTTATTCGCATCAACGCGGAGAGATACTGTTCACCTGAAATTCTTTTCATTAATACGACCATGAAAGCCTTTCAGATCATACATATTTAATGCGTTTTAATTCTGTCGTATAAATTCATGAAATGACGTCTTGTGGTACTTATCATGGCTGTCGCATACATTTATTTATCGTTACTCATAAAATCTAGCAATATGATTGGTTAGCTGCTTTCTGTCAAAGCCATCAATTATTCATCAGGCGTTTACTACATGGGGTGTGAAATTCGATCCCCGCTTAGTATTTTGTTTAACAGAAAAATTATTTTAATCAGCGATTTTATTCCGAACCTTTAAACTTACGAAAAATAAATCCGTTTTTCTACATGGAACGCTTGAAATCCGAACTCATGTTGAAAGAAGTTCCGGTAAATGGTTCAGTACACATACCATGCATATGTTCCGTGCCGTGACAATATGACTAATAACATTCACTGCACAGTGAAAATAACATAAACATATATTCACCACAAAAATCGACAGATAACCAAACTATGGGGCTTCTGGCGTGATGAAGTTTCAAAGCATTGAAAACAATTTGTAGTTAATCTTATATATCACTGATGCTTGTAAAGACACAGCAAGAATCCAACCAAGCGACCCGTGAAGATCCGGGGTAGAATAGGTCTTCAGCAACCCATGCTTGCCGTAAAAGGCGACCACGCTTGTTGTAGGAGGCGACTAACGGGATCGGGTGGTCAGGCTCGCTGACTTGGTTGATGCATGTCATCCGTCCCAATTGCGTGGATCGATGCTCATAATATCAATCACTGGATTGTCTGGTCCAGACTCTATTTTTACAGACCGCCCTTATATTGTTGGAATATTGCTGAGTGCAGCGTTAAACAACAAACCAACCAAACCAATCCAACCAAGCATGTCTACTTGGAAAGTCCACAAATTGATGAGTGAGCCTCTTCACGTCTCGTCCTTTCTTGGTTCCCCTGTAAATGTGATATAGATACCAAAAGGTGTATAATCATACACTAACCAACATAAACAGATTATCACCCAGTCGACATGAACCATACTCTAACCAACTTAAACTGATTATCACCCAGTCGACACGAACGTCGGTGCAATGTGAGTACAGACCAATACGTCTTGCATAATTGAACACTATCATACAAATATGTCCCTGACGTGTTGTGCGTATAGAAGACTTCGCCGTGTGTCTTGGCGACCACGGAAGATGGTTACCCCCGTATCATCCAGTTGACATGTGAATACATGTGAGTATATTTCATGTATAATATAACATCCAATAACACCCCACCCCAGGCAACACCCCCACCCCACACCACGCAACCCCACCCCACCCAAACAAGCATCTTATCCTCAAACCAGTGCCTACGGCGTCTCCTATCACCCTGTTCTGAAAATATGACCTTGGAAACATAACTGTAGTGCAGATGGAAACGCCGTGTGCCTAGGAGACCTCGGGGATAGTAATAGCTACCAAAAGCTACATCATGAGACGACCCAGTTGCGGGGCAATGGCTTCTCCAGTAGGTCACGGTCTGTGCCCAGTCAGATGCAGTCTAAGCCTCAGCCAGTTGAATCCGGCACTGCACCTTAATCACACCATCAATCATGTCTAGTGCACACTCCACACCCACGAGCCCTCGTGCATACCACACGCGACATCCGATCAATACCTTTAATTTCCTACCATTCGCAGGGTCTTCTCGAGTTACACATCCGGCCTCACCAGTCCACGTATTGTAATATTAAAGAGAGACCCGCAGAGGATTGTATAATCCAGAAGTAAATGCTAAATGGTGTTGCCAGCCGTTTGGAGAATTCCTGCTTGATAATGTTTTCTTTATTTTAGCTTTGTAACCTAATACTTCTGTTATACACCAGAACCGACCTGAACTTAGCGTAAGATTGCTTTAAACCTGACCCGTCTGAGACTTGAGATGTGTATGCAAGGCCACAGTTGAAACGATAAAATACTTGATGAGGCAGCGTCTGACTTTAGCCAGTGGGAGTCGGTGTAGAGGCAACTCATGAGGGAACCAACATGTAAATATCAAAGGCCATTGCGGACGTGACATCCAGAATATAGCTTTGGAAGCAGGAATACATGATCACATATAGATTTATTCCCAGACGTTTGGTTTTCTTGTATTTACATATAATTCATAACGTGTAGTTACTGCTACAAATATCAAGTGTCTGAGTACATTGTTTCAGTATAAGTACACACACCAACATGAATAAGGTGACGAACATAAATTTAGACCAAAAATACAATGATACAGATGCCAGCAAATAATATCTTAGCAAGTGTTCTGATCATTGAACAATACCGATGCACGGGTCTTGTATACATGTTATCATAGCGGCCGAATGAACAAAGGTTAATTACCCTGTATCCGTAACATGTCCAAGTCTAGAATCACTTTACTGCAATTTTTGAAGATGCTAAGCCCCATTGTTAATCCCCATTTTAATTTACATTGACTGTCTGCCATCCTGAACGAGTTGTACAGCTATGTCCCTGATTAATTACTGTTATTTATGCTATGGCAGTTACAGCCTTTATCGGTTATCCCCTGAGCTGTGTCGGTAATCACGACCATAAGTTCCATGTCCAGGGCTATGTCATTGCCTCTTGTTGTTCTTTACTATATATGTGTTTGATTTATGCCTGAGGTCGAGCTGGAACTCCGCTCACCTCATGGATGCCTCGGCTTGAATCTCCGCTCATCCTTATGTTTATATTGTCTGAGCAGGTACTCCGCTTATTGTGTATCTTTTGTTTATTGTTTATATGTTGTGTAATTAAACATTCCGGGACAGTGATGTCGATGTTGTCCTTGATTCTCCCAAGTGCGAATTCCCTGTCATGCGTGTTGACACTACTAACCATTGTGCTATTTCAGCAAAGATTTGCACATCTGACCACTGAGCCGTCGCACTTGCTCTGATCATTGATCAACAGGAATACAATACCATATCATTGTTCTTCGGGAACACAAAGACCTATATAGACACACACTACTATGACACATGTTCCAACCAATGACCTCTACAGGCACATAGTATTTTGGCACGTGTTCCAACCAATGTCCTCTTCAGACACACAGTACTATGACACGTGTTCCAACCAATGACCTATACAGGCACACACTACTATGACACGTGTTGTATACAATGACCTATACAGGCACACAGTACTTTGTCACGTGTTCCAACCAATGACCTATTCAGACACACAGTACTATGACACGTGTTCCAACCAATGACCTATACAGGCACACAATACTATGACACGTGTCAAACCAATGACCTATACAGGCACACAATACTATGACACGTGTTTCAACCAATGACCTATACAGGCACACAATACTATGACACGTGTCTCAAACAATGACCTATACAGACACACAGTACTTTGTCACGTGTTCCAACCAATGACCTATACAGGCACACAATACTATGACACGTGTTCTATACAATGACCTATACAGGCACACAGTACTTTGTCACGTGTTCCAACCAATGACCTATTCAGACACACAGTACTATGACACGTGTTCCAACCAATGACCTATACAGGCACACAATACTATGACACGTGTCAAATCAATGACCTGTACAGGCACACGATACTATGACACGTGTCTCAAACAATGACCTATACAGACACACAGTACTTTGTCAAGTGTTCCAACCAATGACCTATACAGGCACGTTGTACTTTGTCACGTGTTCCAACCAATGACCTCTTCAGACACACAATAATATGACACGTGTTTCAACCAATGACCTATACAGGCACACACTACTATGACACGTGTTCTATACAATGACCTATACAGGCACACAGTACTTTGTCACGTGTTCCAACCAATGACCTATTCAGACAC